CACACACATATACATATATACATACACACACACACACATACATATCAAAACATTTTCCATTTCAACAAGTTTTCATGACATTCATTACACACATCACATAGTATAACCATCACCACTATTGGTTTCCAAATTTTTCCATCACCCTTAACAGCAGTCAATGTCTCCTAGGAATTTAGTCTGATTTTCTGCCTCCTTACTGCCCTCCTGCTCATGATAATCACTATTAAACTTTGGTGTCTGTACACTTGCTTATTTTAGATATTTATGTGGGATCATAACATATTTTGTACTTTTGTGACTGACTCATTTTACACAGCATACTTTTAATGTTAGTCCATGTCTATCTATGTATCAGGACTTCATTTCTCATTATGGCTGAGTAATATTTCATTATATGGACCATATTTTCACACAAATGAGACACACCTTCTATGTTTGCTTGTAATCACTCCTTCCCGCCCCCCAGGGAGGTATTTTCACAAGCACTGCTATGTCGTTTTTTGTTTGTTTGTTTATCTGTTGCCGTAAAAAAAAAAAAAAAATTAGCACGGTGTGTTACAAAAGTATCTCTTGGAGGGAGGGAACAGTTGGCAAAGAAATGTAGAAGGTATGTGCAATTTGGGTAAAATGTGGTGTATGCCACATTTTATCCATTTATCCACTGATGAATACTTACTCTGTTTCCAACTTTTGTCTATTTTGAATAGTGCTGCAATGAACAGTGCTGTACAAGCATTTCTTTGTGTTCCTGCTTTCAATTCTTTTGAGTATATACCTAGGAATGGACTTTCTGGTCCCATAAAGATTTACAGGCTTAGAAACCCAGTAAGGGTCACTATGAGTTGGAATCGACTCCACGGCAGGGATTTGTGGATCTTGAGTTTTTGTTTGTGGTATGGTCATTATATGTTTAACTTTGTAAGAAACTGTTAAGCTCTTTTCCACACCAGCTGTAATATCTTACAGTCCCACCAGTAATGGATGAGGGTTTCAATTTCTCCACATTTTAACCAATACCTGTTATATACTGTTTTAACTATCGTAGTGAATATAAAGTGATACCTTATTATGGTTTTGCACTGCACTTCACTGATGACTAATGGGAGCTCGGGTGGTGTAGTGCCTAAGGCATTTGACTCCCCAGAAGGCTGGGAGTTCAAACCTACCAGCCACTCCTCAGAAGGAAGGTTGGGCAATCAACTTCCGTAGTGATACTGCCGTGGAAACCCAAGGAGGGGTTGCTATGAGTCGGATCTGACTCGACAGCTGTGAGTTTGGTTTTGGTTTTGGAATGACTACGGGTACTGAGCATCTTTTCAGTGTTTGTTGGTCATTTGTATTTTCTTGCTGAAATACCAATTCAAACCTTTTGCCTGCTTTTTGTATTTAACTGAGTTGTTTGTCTTCTTATTGTTAAGTTGGAGTAGTTTTTATTATTCTGGTTATTAAATGCTTACCCTATAATACATGATTCCCCCAAATTATTTCTGAATCCATAGGCTGCCTTGTAACTTTGCTCATAAATACTTTTGATGAGCGTAAGTTTTGGATTTTGATGAAATCTAATTTGTCTATTTTGACTTTTCTTGCTCATACTTTTGGTGTAACATCTAAAAACTCTTTGCTAAAAAAGCATTACCTCTATGTTTTCTATTAAAAGTTTTACAGTTTTAGTTCTTACACAGAGGGCCTTCATTCATTATGGGTTACTTTTCACATGAAGTATGGGTCGAGGTTCTTTCTCTTCTTTTTGAAAATCTATTGTCCCCATGTGATTTATTAGAGGTTATTCTTCCCCCATTTGATAGATTTAGCACTGCTCTGGTTACCTAGTGCCACTCTAACAGAAAATACCACAAATGGGATGGCTTGAACACACAAGTGTTCCCCTACAGTTTATTCCCCTACAGTTCATGAGGCTAGAAGTTCAAGTTCAAAGTGCCAGCTCTAGGGGCTGGGTGAGGGCCCCTTGACCTTGGGCTGCAGCTTTGACTCTTGCTCCCAGTCCACTGAAGCTGGAGGCTTCTCTTAACTCAGGCAGCTGCCGGCTGCTGAGGCTCACAAAGCCAAGGCCAACAAGTAAAATGGCACAGTTCCAAGACTGTCAAACAATACAGCAGACCACTAAGACCACTAGTTCAAGTTCAGAAACAGTCCCAAGATCAGCAGGCAACCATGGCAGGCTGCTGAATGATGACTCAGCTACACACAGGGTCCAAGCATGCCGAAAGCTCAGAGACCATTCTCAACGTTTCTTACATGCCGCTCCAGTAGTTTCCACCATGGAGGTGATTACCAGTCTCATCATGGAGAATAATTACATCCAGCTGCCCAGCCACTCTCCTTTACTGAAAATCAACTGACCACAGATGTATGAATTTATTTCTGGATTTTCAATTCTGTTCCACTGGCCTCCAAGACTGCTTTGATTACTGTACTTTATACTCTTTTGAGATCAGGAAATATGAATCCTGCTACTTTGTTCTTTTCTTCAAAATTAATTTGGCTATCTGAGGCCTCATATAAATGTGAGGACTGGTATGTCCATGCCCGGGAAAAAAGTTATTGAAATTTTGATGGTGACATAGGGCCTAAGGCACTTGACTGCTAACCAGAAGGCTGGTGGTTCAAACCCACCAGCCACTCCTCAGAAGGAAGAAGGGGCAATTTACTTCCATAGTGATACTGCCTCGGAAACCCAAGGAGGGGTCACTAGGAGTCGGGTCCAACTTGACAGTATATAACAACATAAATGTGGAACCTATGGATTGCTTTGTGTAATACTGACATATAAAGAATAATAAGTCTTCTGTTTAGTAAGAACACAATATCCTTCCACTTATTTAGGTCTTCTTTAATTTCTTTCAGTAATTTTTTATACTTTCCTGTATAAGCCTTTCACTTCCTTAGTTATATTTATTACTGTTGTTGTTGTTGTTGTTATGTGCCGTCGAGTCGGCCCCAACTCATAGCGACCCCTCCTTGGGTTTCCGAGGCAGTATCACTATGGAAGTAGGACTGCCCAACCTTCCTTCCAAGGAGTGGCTGGTGGGTTTGAACCGCCAGCCTTCTGGTTAGCAGTCAAGTGCTTTAGCCACTATGCTACCAGAGCTCTTATATTTAATACTAGGTATTTTATTCTTTTGTTGTTGTTGTTAGGGGCCATCGACTTGGCTCTGCCTCACAGTGATCCTATGTACAACAGAACAAAACAGTGCCCAGTCCTGCATCACCCTCCCAATCCTTGCTATACTTAAGTTCATCGGTACAGCCATCATGTCAATCCATCTTGTTGAGGGTCTTCCCCTTTTTCACTGACTTTCTACTTTACCAAGCATGATATTCTTCTCCAGGTACTGCTCCCTTCTGACAACATGATCACAGT